CCTCCGCCACAACTTTGCATGATCAGCTAGATTTATGACCAACGTGATCTTCACCTCTTCTACCATGGTATTTGTGACTTAAAATTTCTGTTTGAGGTCAAAGATAAAGTTCTTCAAAGTCTTAGCATCTCAAGCCCCCACATAAGGGCTTAGGATTTGGGACCTTCACCTTGTTAAAATGGACTGCATCCTATTTGGAGTTTTGTTCCCCACTACTCTCATGGTGAGGTTTAGCTTGGTGCTCAAATTTGCCACTTCCGCCATAACCACAATAATGGTTGCTACTAAATTCTCAAACATTTTTTAGACCATTTGAACAATCACTTGTTAGGTATTGTCTAGGCTCGTGATATATTCTTCCATCTGGGAACACAACCCATCAAACTATCCCCTCACTTGAAGCCACCAACAATTGTGGCTTATCTTCTTGGGTCTTCACCCTCATTATTAATTCACGGATGGGTATGGCTTCAAGGTGACATGCTATTTCGTCGATTCTATGAGCCTTAGTGGCAACTTAGTTCATGTGTGATTCCAAAAGCCTCATTCCATCAACAATTTCACTCGAGTAGGGCAATTGATTTTCGATCTTTACAAATCGGTCATCCTAGGATTTGCCCAACTATTTTGCAATAAACATGTTTTCTTATAATTCAAGGAGCCGACATAGCTTTGATACCACTTGTCACAATCACACTTTTGCGGCAGCAAGATAACAATCGTGTAACACTTATTCTAACCTAGCAAATAAGTCAGTCGTGTGAAAATCAAACTTTGCGAACAATCTTTATGTATGATCGAGTCTCGAGTCACGTTATGCAAAAAAACAAAAAAAAAAATAATAATAATAAATAAATTATAAAACGCGAGCAGAAAAGGCATTGAAAACAATTTGAAAAAAAAAACAATGTTATAAGTTAAAAACGAATAGGCGACAACCACAATTTTTATAGCATATAACCCGGGTAAAAAGAATTGGCAACTAGTCACATCCCCTATAGTATATTCTAGGTCATTTTAACCCTAGTGGGTGTAGACATAGATTTTGGTGAATGGTCATACACCCCGATGTTGACATGACAGGAATAGTAAAGACCTAAATACACATGAAAGTAAAGATCGAAACAACATAATTGTCCAAGATTTGGATAAGCCTTCTCTTCAACTTTGAGATGATTACAATATGCATACGTTGTTAGTATAAACGAGACATAGATCGTGTGCTTTTTTAATATCAAAACAAGGATAACTTGATAGATAAAACACCTCAACAATTCAGTCTCTAACCCTAAAATCGTCAAACTATATAAAAAGAGTATTAATTACCAATGAAACCCCTAGTACATGCATTTCCCTAAAATACAAAGAATAAGAAGAGAGTAAAGGGTGGGGAAAAAGTGACTTAGTTTGAAGACAAGATATAAGGACAAAATAAGGGTAACAAAGCATGTGCATCTATGAAGGAGGACCAACACTATTTAAAACGCCTGGCTTTGTAATGCTCATAAATTACAATACATCCATACACAACAAGAGTAATCAATCCACATTACGAATAGAAAGAGAGGAGGGGTGATGGTTGGTGTAGGGTGAACCACGGACAGCAGCTGGGCCACATTAAAGGGACCAAAACAACACAGTCGCCATTAATGGTGAATTGGAGTAGAAAACAGATCACTTATGACAAACCAAGTCATGACAACACACTCTTTACTTTTCACTCTTTCATGTCATAAATTAGGGTTAGTACATGATATTTACAGCTCAATATTTGAATATATTCTCGGTTCAATATTTGACATGGCATTAGATGATATATTATTTTATTTTATGCATGTCATATTATTCCTAAAGCGTTTGTCTTCCGCTAAAATTATATATTTAGTTATAAACTTTAAAATTTAATTGTTCTATTAAATATAAATTTGAATTCTATATCTAGTAAAATTCTAAATTTCTAAATTCAAGTCTAATAGATTTGAAAGTTAAAAAAGACTATATTTTTAAGGTTGTATATGGATTAGATTGAAAAAATCTTTTGGACCAACTAAAAATTTCGAGTTAGTTTCCTTGTTAACACAAACAATCTGAATATAGTTTATAATCCAACCCTCTATTTTTTTAGATGGGTTAGGTTGGATTTTTGGGCTGTTTTATTTTATAATTATTTTATAAAATTACTACTTATTGATAATCCTTGTTATATTAGTGACTAAAATTTTATAAAATTTAAATATCAAACATTTACCAGTCATAACGCAATTCTAACTTCAGTTACAAAAGTTAATTGTTAAATATATTTAAAGTAGGGTTAGGTTGGGTTGTAACGGGTTTGTTAGGTTAACCAGACTAAAAAAATTTCAACTTGCAAACTACACCCAATTTTCGATCTAATCTAATCCAACTCAAGCTTTATAGTTTGGATTGGTTGGATTATGACGCCTTCTTATTTCCCACCACCTTTATTCATTAAAAAAATTTCCTTTTGGAGGGTTTCATATCAACTAATCCTTTTCAACAAGTGGCCCTCTTTTAAAGAACTCTCCAACCCACATGCATACACAACACCTTTTTCTTTACATTCAACACAAGCTAACATCAAATTCCCTGTATCAAACTGTTCAAAGTTGAAAGCAATGTGTATACATTTTCAAATCCTTTAATTATTACCATACCTATGAATTTAAATGGTTATATTTGAATAATCGGCTATGCCTTTGTACGATCTCACATGATAGACAGAGTTCGGGTTACATAATTGAAGCGAAGCATAGGACGATGGGTGGCATAGGTAGTCCAAATACAAACCAACAAGTTTGAGGGTTAGAAATGAAATGAAAGGAAAATAAATGAACGTGAAAGGCATTGAATTAGTAGATTTACTTCTGTTTTCAATTGTGGGCCTTTTCCTTTGCTATTACTTTCACATCCTTTTCACTCCTCAATTCAATGTATTATCATATAGATGAGGATGGAATTGGTATATATTGCCTAAATATATAATTCTATCCCAAAGTTTTCAATAACTTTCAATTCCATCTTTTATGAACCCTAAACAACAAACCAAAAAAGAAAAAAAAGCTTATTTTAGTTCAATCCTTATCTCTAAACTTTCTAAAATATATTATTTTAATTTAACGTATACTTTTTATACGAAAATTTGGATATTTGACTTGTAATAGCTGAAGCCCACCGTTGCATATGATATTAGAGCCAGACATCGGGTAGTGTATCAGCGAGGACACTGAGCCTCAAAAAGAGGTGAATTATGAGATTCTACATCGATTGGAGAGAGGAACGAGTATTAGTGAGGACACTAGGTTTCGAAGGTAGGTGGATTGTGAGATCCAACATCAGTTAGAAAGGGAAACGAAACATTATTTATAAAAGAGTGGATATCTCTCCCTAATAGACACGTTTTAAAAACCTTGAAGTGAAACTCGAAAGAGAAAGCACAAAGAAAATAATATCTACTAGCTGTAGATTTGGGATTGGGTTGTTACATGACTTTTAAAAAATATACATAATATAACTACTATTTTTTGAGCCATTTACATAAAAAAAAATATATATATATACATAAATTTACTTTATCATATTCACCATTAACTTTGAACATTGAAAAATCTCTCCTGTTATAAAATTTGTAAAAACGATTACTCCCCTATGGTTTAGAAAAAGCAATTAATGGGCTTCATTCTGAAAGCCCAATGAATGTTGGGCCTGAAACTTATGGTGATAGAAGGTCCAGCCCACAAGGGGACCTATTCTGGGCTTTTAGCTATGCTCTGCTCCCTTAGATAGGCCATTGTAATTCTAGTGATCCAGAACTCGAACCAAACCACAACATGAACAGACCAAGAATCCAAACTGACTCGCCCATCCACACCTCAACTCGCTGACTCGTGTGTTGAGTCGAATCCACGACTGCATCTCATCCACGTGCCCGAGCTATCATCGGATCTTAACTCGAGTGTGGCTTGATTGAACTACCCTCTGCATTTAGCTCGCTATCAGCTCAACAACTCCAGGTCGACTTATTTCGCTTATATGGCTTAGTTCACCCATTTGAACATCGTTCTACTATTTTGGACCCTTTGCTACCATTATAGACCCTACCAAAGTCATTTTTGACGTTATTGAGAGCATTTAAGGCGAAATTGAAATTCAAGGAGTAAATTAGACTAGCACTAAGGAGTTTAAGTAACTTTGGCTTAGACCTCCAAGTAAGTGGTTTTAGTGTTGGATGCCCATGGGCTTGGTTGAATGACTTGTCTAATGTACGAATGACACATATTACCCTGCGACCCCTATACATGTCATATTTTTATGGTGCTATGTAATGTCATGATTATGCTATATTATAATATGAATGTTATATGATACATGTACTTCCATATGTTATGCTACATATATTATGTTAGCATGTTCATACCATGCCTATAAGACATTGACAAGCCATTTAAGTTAACCATGAAAAATGTGTCAAGTATACATGAATGCATGTCACACAAAACATTATGTCATGAAAAGAATGGAGGTATGATTCACATCATAAGTATGTACCATGATCTCAAATTATGGGACATCATACATTTTGTAAGTCACGTGCATCAAAATACTTTCTTGTTATGATTAGTACCGACGCGTACACCATGATATTATACACACTTCTTTTTCTTTGTGGCTTTTAGTCAGACACACAAGTATGTATAGAAGTTCACTTCATGGGTCCATGTGTGTGTGAGCCGTGTGTAGATAGTACTACATATTCAACTCTATCCCGACTAGAAGGTACAGAAAAGGAAAAATAGGGTTGGGATAGAGATAGGGCCTCCTTTGGATCCCCCAAGCTTACACATTTTTTCTCAAAATGGGAAATTGGCAATAAGTTGAGAAAATAATTGCTCTTGGTGAAGCTTTTACTAGAAGTGGAACCCACCAAAGACTATGATATTGTTTAAACTTTAATAAAGATCATCAATTTTGTAGTTACAAAATGCTTAAACTTAGACATAAATATTTTATTAAATATGTTTTAATCTGACAGAGATCATAATCGGATGAAATCGTAAGGATTGTCGAGAAAATGAAATTTTCTAATTAATTCATTACATCAAATTGAAGGAAAGAGAGAGAGTAATAAATAACAAAGTTCCGGCGATCATTCCGACCTCCGATTTGCGTCCTGCGACGGCGGAGCCACTGGATTCATCGTCCGGTTTATGAGGAGGCTTCTTGAAGTAATAAGGGAAGTACGGCAGAATCGGGTCCGGAGGCGGTGGAGTGACGCCATCGAAGCTGTTGCCGTTGGAGGGCGGGGTGTTATATGGGTAGGTAGCAGCCGGCGGAGGGTAGAAGGCCGGAGGAGAATAGGAGCCATAACCTGTTGGCGACGGCGGAGATGGAGTGGTGGGAGTAGAGGTGGCGGGGCCGGTGGGCGGAGGGTAGCAGGGATATGGGCAGGTGTCTTCGGTCCTTGTCGGCAGGAGGAGGACGGCGAGGATCAAGGACAGGAGAGCGGCGGCGATGGCAGTGTTTGGGTGGGAAGCCATTTGTGGTAGGAGAGAGAAAGGGGAAGTTAAGAGAGAGAAAAGTTGGAAGAAAAAAATGAGTGAAGTGAAGTGTCAATGGGAAAAGGAGCTTTTGTCGAGGGGATGAATGAATGAATGTGGGAAAAAAGGTTCTTTTTTTTATTATTTTGTCTTAATAATCATTTTTGGAAATAATGTAGTAAATATTTGTGGACATGTTTTAAAACTGAAAGAAAAAAAAAGAAGGTATTTTTTAAAAAAATATATTATTTTTTTTACAATTCCTACAAAAAAAAATCTTCAATAAACTAAAAATATATAAACTTAAAAGTTGTTGGGGGTATCAATTGATCATCAGTGTTACCTAAATATTCCATTTGACAAAGTCTCCCAATTCATAATTCTTAGTTTCCAACAAACTTCTATTACAAATTTTCCACTTGTTTAGTGTTTCTAAACTCTACTTTTTAAAATTTTAGACCTATGCTGGGACATGAGTTTGATGCCTAGATTACAGATCTGTTTGGAAGATTTTTTTTTTTTTTTTTTTTGTAAAGATGGGATACAATGTGATAGATATTTGATAAAGATTTAATAGAGATATATTTGTTAGATTATTTATGTCAGTTTAAATCGCTATATTTAGTAAATTGAAACTATATATATCCTAAAACGCTTATATACAACTTTACTTTTTCTCTGGATTCTCTCTTGTTCTCCATAACTTAAGCCATCAATAAAACCTTCAACCAATATTCCTCCTTGAATTTTCTCTCTCCGGTTCTTTGTGTTCATCTTGTTCGAGTGTGTGCGTTGTTGAGCGATCCTAACAACTGGTATCAGAGCTAACAACTGATATCGATCCTAAAAACTTGTATCAGAGCGAGGCAAATTTCACCACGATCTATGAAGATGGAAAGTTCATAGATTAAAATTGAAAAGTTTAATGGATCCGATTTCAATTTATGGAAGATGCAGATTGAAGACTATCTGTACGAGAAAGGTCTTCACGAACCCCTATTAGGGGTGAAATCGGATACTATGACCACGGAACAGTGGAAGCTCAAAGATCGTCAGGCCTTAGGGTTGATCCGATTGACGCGGTTAAAAAACGCGGCCTTGAATATTATCAAGGGGAAGACAACGTCAGATTTGGTGAAGGCGCTGTCGAATATGTACGAGAAACCGTCGGCTATGAACAAGGTGTATTTAATGTAGAGGCTGTTTAATCTACAAATGTTTGAAGGTGGATCTATTGCTGATCATATAAACAAATTCAATATGATTACAAGTCAACTGAGTTCGGTGGATATTAATTTTGAATATGAAATTAAGGCATTTATTTTGATATCTTCTTTACCCGAGTCGTGGGATACTATTGTTGCCGCGATCAGCAATGCACGAGGATCTAATAAATTGAAGTTCGATGAAATTCGAGATGTAGTTCTTAGCTAAAGTATTTGCAAATGAAAAATCGGAGATTCATCAGACAATGCTCTCAGTGTTGATCGAATGGGAAGAAGTAAATCAAAGGGCCCAAACAATGGGCGATCAAAATCAAGGAACTGAGGAAAATCTCCAAACAAACCAAACGTAGAGTGTTGGTGTTGTGGAGAAAAAGAATACTTTCAGGCAGATTGTACAAAGAGGAAGCATAATCACAAATCAGAAGATGACGATGATTCGGTAAATTCAGCAGAAGACATTGGGGATGCTTTAATTCTCAACATGGACAATCCGATTGAATCCTGGATTTTGGATTCAGGTGCATCTTTTCCTTTATCGCCAAATAAAGAGATGTTTCGAAATTTCAAGTTTGGAAGTTTCAAAAAGGTGTATATTGCCGACAACAAATATTTGAAGATCAAAGGAAAAGGGGATGTCTGGATAAAAACTCCAGTTGGAAATCAGTGGACATTAAAGAATGTCAGATATATTCCTAGTCTCAAGAATAACCTGATCTTTATTGGTCAGTTGGATAGCACAGGTTATGCAACAGAGTTTGGGAAGAGTTTGTGGAAGATTATGAAGGGTGCTATGGTGGTAGCACGTGGCACAAAATCTGAAACCTTATACACCACTGCAGGGTGTATGAACATAGTTGCTGTTGCTGAGAGTGCTTCATATTCAAGTTTGTGGCATAATAGACTTGGACATATGAGAGTTAAAGGAATGAAGATGCTGACTGGAGAAGGAGTTTTGGAAGGTCTGAAATCTGTTGATATGAGTCCTTGTGAGAACTGTGTTATGAGCAAACAGAAACGAGTTAGCTTCACAAAGAATGCCAGAGAATTGAAGAAAGATATCGGGACAACAAAGTAAGTGGGAGTTGAGGTTGAGTTGCTGAAAGATTCACCTAGTGATGTTGTAACGGATACTCAAGAAACTCCTGAGACTGTTGCTGAGGAACCAGAAGCAGAGCAAGTGATACCTGAGCAGGTGTTGAAAAGATCATCCAGAGCCATCAGAGTACCAGATAGGTGTGTACCTTCTTTACACTATCGGACGGTGATTGATGAAGAGGAACGAAAGCCCCTTGATGAGGCCCTACAGTTGGAGGATACAACCAAGTGGGAGCAAGCCATGGATGATGGGATGTCTAGGCTTCAGAAATGTGTTGCTCTTTTATCTGCCAAGGCTGAGTACGTGGCAATAGCTGAAGCTGGAATGGAGATGATATGGATGACAGACTATCTAGAAGAATTAGGCAAGAAGCAGAGCGAGAAGATTATTCATATAGATAGTTAGAGTGTCATGCACTTGGCGAGGAACCCAGTCTATCATTTAAAGACAAAACACAGAAGGTGTTACCATTTCACTCGGAGGTGTTACCATTTCACTCGGAGGTTAGTGGAAGATGGTGATGTGTTTGGAGAATATAGAGGGTGCAAGGAATCCATCAAACATTTTATGTTGATGTTGGAACATTGAGGTTGTGTAAGGCTTCAAGTGGTATGGTACATATTGAGAATGAAATTCTTGGTTGACTGGATCAGTCTCCAAGTGGGAGATTGTTCGAGTTGGCTGGATCAGTCTTCGAGTGGGAGATTGTTGTGATTGACTCGATCAATCTCCAAGTGGGAGATTGTTGGGATATGGAGTTTGATGCCTAGATTTGATAGAGATATATTTAGAAGATATTTCTTAAGATCTGATAGAGATATATATGGCAGATATTTAGTAAAGATGTTAGAGAGATATATTTGTTAGATGGTATGTTACGATTAAATCTTTAGAAGCTATATTTAGTAAATTGAAACCATATATATACTCCATTAGTCTGTGTTCTCAAGATGTACCTTTTTCATTATCTGTATTCTCCTTGTTGTACATACCTAAAGTCATCAATAAAATCTTTAGCCAATATTTCTCCATCAACTTTCTCTCTCCTATTCTTTGTGTTCATCTTGATCGAGTGTGGAGCGATCCTAACAACTGGTATCGATCCTAACATTAGATTCTATGTTGTTATTGCTTTAAAACAAAAAACTAAAAAAATATGTAAGATAAAGATAAGGTTAATGAAAATTTTGGAGTAATAATCGAAATGATGTAGAAGTACAAATAAAAACATGATGACAGTCTTCTATGGCAATTAGTCGTCCCTCCCATCACGACTTTTGCATGTCGTTGTCTTTTCCTCAACAAAATCTTAAAAGGCTTAATATTGAAAATACTTTGTAAGTAATGTTTATGATGGATTAGATATGTATGCATTCTCCCACAAAGTTGAGGACTATAAACCTTTTAAAACTGGTCCTACTCTCATCCACGTAGATGAACATGTGCCACAAGCAAAAATCATGAAAAATGGTACACAATTTGGCGATGGCTAACAATTCTCATGTCAGAGAAAGACAGTCTTTAGTTTTTCTACTATGTCAATGCTTCACTTCCCTCGACATAATTTGCACTGGTCTCTCCGCATAATTTAAATAACCATTGGAGTCTAGAGGTCCATGGTCGATCACATGAGTCGAGTTTGCTATATACATATGTAGGGGTGAGATACATACTAATATATAGGAGTGCTTAAACTTTGAACTCTCATAAATTGCTTAGATAGCAATAGAGACTATGCTCGAACTTCCTAAAGCCTAGAGTAAAATTTGTAGATTTCGACTAGACTAAGAATGTGATGATAGTTTACAAGTAGGTTTGTTACTGAATATTTTTATACTCGCCCCTTTCTCAATTTTTAGGTGTTGGCAAGCTGCTATTTGAGGTGAGGAAACATTCGAGAGCTGCGCGGTCATAGAGGGAGTTGTTTTCCCATTCGTAATAAATTTGAACGACACCGTCTTGTAAATGGATTTCGTTTTGTACTTGTGTTGTTCATCTTTTAATTTGATTTAAAATTTACAATATTTTTCGTATTTTACTTATCTACGATTATTTACTTTTGTCTTATTTTTTTTGTCATGGTTCTGGATTTGAAGCCTCAAAATCGGATCGTGACAACATAATTGGTAGATAAACGTTGGTAGACACGAAGATCACTCTCTTTTAGATGATAGTGACATTATGGAGCCTACTAAAGAGACACAAACTAAATACTAAATCTATCTCAATTGATAGTGTCCATTGTGGTACGATAAGAATCATGAATTGGAACCATGACAAGATTGTGCCTTGAGTACCTATAATATGTAGGTTATTGATGATGAGAAAGACAATTAAATAGCCAATCAAAATCCCATAAGATCCAAAGATAAACTTCACGAGCGTGTAATCTCTAACGTGAGAGCCTTGAAAAGGTTGATTCCAATTGAACCTAAATGATAGTCTAGAATCTAGGTATGAAATAATGTGCGATTAAGGTGAGAGCGTGCACGAGCTACAGGACTATACGGGTTAAGATAGATCCATGTCTCGACTTTCTCACCTCTCGATGATTATATGAATTTATTTTCATGAGATTGAAACTGAAGGGTTGAGTTTGGATGAAAAGGGGTTTACATAAGTTTGCTGAGTTTGGAAGGGTAATTAAGTTCCCAATATCCCAATTCTTACGCCAACACCTGCAAAAGTAGAGTGATTTAGACGTGTAGTGCAGGTTAAGCTTTAGTTCTTATCCCCATATTTTATCTATATATTTTCACCTAATTCACTTTATTTTA